AAAATGAAAAAGCGAGTTTACCGAATTATTTTCCAAAACAAATAAAATGAGATATGTCTCTGTCTTCCTTAATGAATTAAAGAAGTGAGTTTTATTAGTTTTCCAAATTTGAAATATATGATTGTTGGAGTGGCGTTGCGATAAATTTGCATACCTACGCCTAGTAGTGGATCCGATCCCGCTTCGGTATTAGTTCTAGTTCGGTCAATGCCCCGCGGTCCCTATCGTGCACAATCAATGACCCGGTGGTACGTATTCGGTGCGGTCAATGGCCAAGCAATCCCGATTCTGTCCGGTCAGTGACCCTATGGTCCATGTCCAGTCAGGTCAATTACCCGGCGATCCCTGCCCAGTCCGGTCAATGACTAGGCGGTCCATGTCCGCTCCAATCGACTGTAGGGCAGTCCCGGTGTGATCCGGTCCGATCAACAACTCGGTGATCCCTGCCCGATCTGGTCAATGACCCAACGGTCCCTATCAGGTCTGGTCGATGATTCGGCGGTCCCCGTCCTACCTAGTCAATAATCCGGTGGTCTATGTCCGAGCCGGTTCGATCAACAACCGAGTGGTTCTAATCCGGTCCTGTCAATGACCCAACAGTCCATGTTCATTCGGGTTAACGACCCGATGGTCCCTGTCCAGTTCGGTCAATGACTCGACAGGCCCTGTCCAATCCAGTCGACGATTGAGCAGTCCATGTCCAGTCCGATCAATGACCAAATAGTTTTTGGTCAGTTTGATCGATGGCCAGGCAATCCCGATCGGATTTGGGCCGATCAACGACCCAACGGTCCTTATCTTATTCCGTTAACGACCCAACGATCCTTGTCCAGTCAGTTCAATAATCCGGTTGTCCTCGTCATTTCCGGTCAACAACCCGGTGGTCTATGTCCAGTCTGATCGCTAACTGTGCGATCCTGGGTCAGTCCCGTCAACAACCAAGTTGTCCCTATCCGCATCAGTTGATGATCCGGCGGTTCGGTCTCCATTTTCAAAATTATATTTTAAAGTAAAAAAATGTTTCAAAAGAGTCGTTGAGTTACCAACAAATAATGAAAAGGGAAAAGAATTAGTCAAACTAGCCGTTGGGACCGATCGGGACCGCTTGGATGCACAACTGACTTAACTATTCTCGGGACCGAGTACCCTACTTGGATTGTACTAAGTTCAGTTCCTGACAAGGACCGTACTTTTGGTCTTCCAATCGGTCAAAGAACCGGGTGAAAAAATTTGAGGAACATGTCTTTTATTGCAAACATTGAATGTTTTTTTTACACAAATTTAACGGTGATTTGTAAGAATTTTTTTAACAACTAGGAATCGTTAAATGACATCAACTGAATCGTTAAGAATGGCTTGATTCCATATTGATTCTATAAAAAAAATAAGAATCGAATTGTTATTAAGACTAGACTAAGTACCCGTGCGATGCACGGGGTATACCTAGAATAAAATAGCAATTTATTTAAAATTTTTGCATTCTCCATGTTTTAGTTCGATAGATTTCTACAATTAAAACAACTAACCATTCTCCGTATATGTTCACTACGGAGTATTTAGTACCACGTATTGTTTAGTTTGTTCCGCCAACCCTGCTCATAATGAACACTACCTTATTTTCTATGGAATAAAATGTTAATGCTAAAGTTACTGCTAAAAGTTAATGTAAAGTTACTTTATCTTATTGCCTCTAGGTATACATCCTATTTTAATACTACGTAGTAGAATGTATCCTGATTTGCTACTAAAAGTTAATGTAAAATTAGTTCCAAAAATATATTAATTTTACTTTGGAATTACTTTACAAATAATAAATTGAAAATGAATTTGAATTGTACTACGATTCAGTGGGGTCACATGCCACATCCGGATTATACAAACACAAACTTTCCATTGAATAAATCCAGATTGGATTTTATATAGATGCATCAATATTAATATAAAGTGTATATTTGATTTAATGTGGTGAACTGAACCTTTGTGTTGCTACCCAAAATTCCTTTAAAAGGTAACTCAAAGGTAAATTCATACGGTAAGTGAGTTCAACAGTAAAATAAAATTTGTCCAAAAATAGAATCATTGTACCAATTTTAGGTATAGCTAATATCTAAATAATTTGCCCATATGGGTAGCAACACAAAGGTTCAGTTCACTACATTAAATCAAATATACACTTAATATTAATATTAATGGAATTTTATCAATCCAGGACCCGAACGATGTATCAATAATCAATTAGGGACCTGAAAGATAAAATGTATCGATATATGACCCGAATGATGGAAAACTATCAATCTAGGACCCGGATGATTGAAAACTATCAATATAGGACTTAACTTTTGGTAAATTTAATTAACTTTTTTATTTTAAAAAAAATTAAATATTGTTTAGTTTTATTAAAGTAATAAACTTTTGTGAAGAAAGATTCATCAAATATTAGCAATCAAATTAATAAAAATTTAAATAAATCAAAACCTATGAAATGTTAGGTCTTAGATTGATAGTTTTTCATCATTCAGGTTCTATACCGATACATTTAATCTTTCAGGCCCCGAATTGATAATTCGTGCATCTTTCGGGTCCCGAATTGATAAAATAATTTTTCCGGAATTTGCCTTTTTTTTGAAAGGTAATCTCTTTTGTTTCTGTTACTTTTATATATTTTATTACTGTCACTTCATACATATAAATTTGTTTCAAACAAATGTGCACTATATCTTACTGTTTTATTTCTTTCGAAAAATGATGGATGGACATATTGGCATTCTTATCCATGTGGCCAACATAATAAGAGCAAATTTAATACTCCGTAGCAAGCAAATTTTCTTTTTGTACTTTCACTTGACAATCAACTATTTCTCGTTGGTCCATTTCCAGTCAATATAACACTATAAAAGTTAGCTATAATTTTGCCTCTTCATCGAATTAGCCCCAAAATCAATAAAATTTTAAATTATACATTGTTAATGATTTAACTTTTAATAAAATAAAAAAAATCAACTTACTTTGAAATACCTTCAAATTGAAAAATGTTATTAATATCTTTAAACCTATAAGTAATTAGTATTGTTATCATTATTACAATAGATTTATATTTATAATTGTTATACTTAAACCTATAAGTTCAAAAAATATGTGATAGTCTCAGATTTTGTCCCAAAATTTAATTAACTATAGTCGTCAGCGATATGATTAATCTGGAATGTTAATATTTTTTTTTTTAACTCAAAATCTGGAATGCTAATATTTTACCACTGTTTTTACTATTGTATTCATTAGAGTCCCAATTTTTTTCGTAAAATTCTTTATCATCATCATCATCATCATCATCATCATCATATAATAGATATTTTCATTGCTGTTATTTTTATTATACTTGTTATTGCTATTATTGTTTCTTATTTGTTATTATTACTATTAATATATTCTTATTAATAATTTCAAAACCCAAAGTTAAGATGTGCAAATATACACATATTACTATTGCTTCTATTAGTTCAAAAGAGTTAAAAGTGACCAAACTTTATGTGATGGGGGAGTATATTGTCATAGCTTTCTATGAAATCTAATGTACTTTAAATAAAGTTAAATTTAGAATGGCTAAGATCTATGTATTTTTTGGTAATAGGCGAGAGAAGTATACTCTCAAATATCAATAATGTCACATACATGGGCATCGTTGCAATCCGTTGGCACGTTTTGATCGATTTCATAAAATCTTATAATTTTTGTATATTTTCCAAAATTTTGATCTCAATATATACGCATATGCACCACACACTGCACCCATACATATCCATGATCCTTTATAATTTTAGATGTCATCATGGAGTTAATTTTTTTAACGAAATAATCATCTAAAATTTTAAATATGGCAAGTCACATAGATACTTCCTGTCATCTTAAATAACCTTTCCATTTTGCAATTAAATTTTATTTGAACGGCAGTTTTAACAAAGTGAGTAACATAGGCATCAATTCACTTATGACAAACAAATTGATAAACATGGTAACTGAACACTTCATGCTCAACTCGTCGTTCATGTTCATTTTAACAGAAATTGCCCTAAATAGGAGTAAAAACATTTTGAAATTTCAAAATAGGACTATCATGTTTTTCATTCCCTGAATAGGAGTAACCTACCAAGTTTGGAAAAATGTCATGTTTAAAGTCTAGTAATGTCAAACTTGGCAGAAATTTACTCCTATTCAGGGAATGAAAAACACGATAGTCCTATTTTGAAATTTCAAAACGTTTTTACTCCTATTCAGAGAATTTTCTCTAATTTTAAATGGTAATACATATTTTTACATTTAAGTATTATTAACTTAACTATTTCCCTTTTTTTAATATGGCAAGTATGATCTTAAGTTAATTTTTTAACGAAATAATCATCTAAACTTATAAATATGGCAAGTCACGTACTTACGTACATATATACTTACTATCATCTTAAATTAAATGACATTTCCATTTTTCAATTAAATTTTAATTGCACGGCAGTTTTAACAAAGTGAGCAACATAGTTATAAATACATTTATGACAAACAAATTGATAAACATGGTAATTGAACATTTCATGCTCAACTGGCCGTTCATGTTAATTTTAAATGGTAATACATATTTTTACATTTAATAATTCACAAATTAACTATTTCTATATGTATTACTTTTTGGGCGGGAATTTTCCCTCCAATAATTATAACAACTTTGCTACTTTATATTATATAAAGATAAAGATTTGATATTTTTAAACGGTTTCATTTATTTTGTTAAGGAACCGAATCGGTCAGACTAGCTAGTGCATGTGAGCAACAAAACCCTGAGCAAAAGAAATCTGCCCCTAAATGGGGCCACTGCACAAGCCATAATCGAGATCTTAGCCCTCCGATCTGGTTCTGCTTAAACTGTGAACCAGAAATGATAGTTGGGAAACCATCTTGTCGATCTGCTACACCATCTTTTTTTTTTTTTTTTTTCATATATATACATATCTATATGAAATTCTCCTAGCCCTAGCTAGCCACAAACATGAAACATTGGTTTATTTTCTCGTACGTACTGTTTATTTAATTCATAGGCTGTCTCATCATCATCAGTTCATTTCCATCATATCATCATACATCTTCTTCCTCCCTCACTGCACACAAATTCAAAACTCCTGCAGCCTAGCTACCTACCTAACAATACCATGCAAGCTCATCAAAAGCCTAATTTCACCCACATGATAAAAGCCTCTAGAGAAAATAATATGCCGCCTCGGGTTGGCGATTCCACCTTTTTTGGAACGAGAGAGAATACCTCGACCACCTATTGGCGGGGACAACGAGATGATGAACTACTAGTTGATGATGATGAAGATGTAGCCTCCACTGTTCTGTCTCTAGGCCCTCCTGGCCAACATCATAGTAAAACAAGCCACCAAAACCCTAAGAACCAGCTGCACAAGTACGACAATGAATGGGGTGTCACAGTGGCGTTTCACATGGGCCCGACGCCATCGCCTTCACCGCTTGGAGCTACCAGCAGCAGCTCAAGCAATTTTAGCCCGAGCGGCGGTGATGTGGAAGCGGCAGCTACGGCTGGAGGAGGAGGGCTTTCACTTGGTCTTAGGCAGTACTGGATTCCTACACCAGCTCAAATCCTTGTTGGCCCCACTCAATTCTCTTGCACTGTTTGTCACAAAACATTCAATCGCTTCAACAACATGCAGGTTAATTCTTCTTTACAATCATGCAATTTGATTAGAATTTAATTAGGAACCTATTCATTTTCTTGGATAACTGTTGTGATCTGAATTACCTATAGAAAGTGCAATGTTGTAACCAAAAAGCAAATTCAAAAGCACATACTAGCTCCCCAGGACCCCAATCCCACACACATTTTGAGTCAAACTTTAATGTGCTAACTTTGACCCTCAATTTCTATACTTAAATATCACAATTCTTCCGTTCAAAATGGTTTTCGATTTTACTTTTCTTGGTTAATAGGCTCAACACAATTTCAATTTAATCTCACCTGATTTTGAGTATGCATCTTTAATCAGTTTTTGATTTGGGACGTGTTTAGAATTGAAGAAAACTTTTATTATACTCCGTATATAGTTCCTAGATATATAAAACTTTCTTATTTCTTAGTATACTACTCCGTATCATCATAACTTCGTAAAAGTGCAAAACAATTGGGATAGAGGGAGTATTACATTATGCTTAACTATTGATTAATACTCAAGCTAGTAAGGGCATTCTATGAGGTAAATATGTTACTATTATAAGGAGGAGTTTGAAGATTGAGAAAGTCAAATTAAGAGCTTAATTGTTGGACAAATGTAGAGCTAATTTTGTGATAATAAGAAAAAATAAGTCTATAATTAATTTTCTGACTTTGTTGGCTTAAATTATTGTAGATGATAATTTTAGCTCTTTTTCATAGAATATTTTTCTTATCTTATTAATAAAACTATTTTAATTATAAAATTTTTATAAATCAGCAGAATCGGTCAATGCAGCCACTTCAATCATAACTTCATAAATTTCAGCAGAATTAACAGATTTAGTCAACTTGAGTGTTATCAATTGGGCTCGTAGTACATTAGTAGAGTACATTTTAGTTTTTTAAGGATAATAACATGTCGATTAAGAACTAAAGAAAACTTTTTGCTAATTTTTTAACGTAAGCAATATTGTTGTCACTCTTTTCCTAGACTAGAAAAACTTTACAGCTATATGGCCTTTACATAAATAAATAAATAAACCACATCTATCTGCAGTCTGCACGTACAACATAACATTTACCTCTGGTGGGTGAATACTTTTACTATTTATGGCTTGACACTATGCACGAAATGGGGTTACTGTTTATGAATAGGGTTCCATCTCCTGAATAGGAAAATAGAAAGTTTCGATTTTCCTCTATGGTAAACTACATGTATATAAATGGTTACCTGCATGCAGTTCAATTATTTATATTATTACCCCCAAAAAAAGAAGTCCAGATTAAAAACATATATTTAAATATTGAATAATTCAGATGCATATGTGGGGCCATGGCTCACAGTACAGAAAAGGGCCGGATTCCCTAAAAGGAACAAAACCACCTTTCTCCTCCGCCTCCACCGCCGCCGCTTCATCGAGGTTAAGGCTGCCGTGCTATTGCTGTGCAGAAGGATGCAAGAACAACATAGAGCATCCAAGATCAAAGCCATTGAAGGACTTCAGAACCCTCCAAACACACTACAAGAGGAAGCATGGTTTGAAGCACTTCTCCTGCCGGAAGTGCGACAAGGCCTTCGCCGTGAGAGGGGATTGGAAGACTCACGAGAAGAACTGCGGGAAGATTTGGTTTTGCATTTGCGGGTCGGATTTTAAGCACAAGCGATCCCTCAAAGACCACGTCAGGGCGTTCGGGGATGGGCACGCGGCACACAGCGAGAGCTCGTTTCAAGCATCTCGCTGCTACCGTCCTCACACAGAGGACCCCGAGGAGGAGGAGGAAGAAGAGGAAGAAAGCGACGGTGGTGGTGAATATGACCACGAGCAGCAGCACGTGTCTACCTGTGCAGGAGCATTGTTCATCAGGTAGTATGGCATATAGTGACGTTGCATGCATGTGAAGATCGAGGTGAAAGTTGTAGTAGCTAGTAGCAGCAGTTCTTGTGTACGTACGCCGTGACAGCGATAGATGAGATTATTATTGACTACTAGTGCCTTTTGGCAGTTTGCGCCTGTTTGCTTTTGTGTAGTATCATGTTCTCCCCAAATGGTTACTTTAGTGACTTTAGTGAGTTTTGGAGAAATGTGTACACATGTGTGTTTTTTATAGAAATTTTGTCTGTTACAGACAACTTAAAATCAGTTGTCTGTCACAGACAAAATTTCTGTAAAGAACAGATATGTGTACACATTGTGTACCTCAAGCATTTTTCTACTTTCGTTGGATTGATTTGTATATTACGTATCGTATATTCTAGTGTTGTTTATGAAATTATTGATGAGTTAAATTAGTTTGCTGAATGATAGAAAAATAATATTTAATTTTTTTATTAATAGATATGGAGTACAAAAAGAAAAGATTATATGATAAGATTCTAAATGATCCTATCATTTACCGTAACTTTGGTCAATTTCAATTACGAGTTTGATAATAAGCTTAAAATAGAAGTTATCAAACGTTGGGACATGTATATATGCCTTTCTTATGTGTCACGCAGAAATTCTATACTTTTTAATTTTCTAGGGTTCAATGTACCAGACTTCCTCATAATACATATTACCTAACTTTGGCCCGAGACTTGGTGCACAAGTCCGTGATAGGGATGAGTTTAAAGTTCATTTAAATCCTTGATGATGAGATGCTCAATTCCCCTCTAATATAACGTTAAATTAGAGGCTGAATTCAATGCGGAAAGTTCACACTTATGGATTGGGACACACAATCAAGATCATCCCAAGGACCTGTAGTAGGGAGGTTGAATTTATTTCTTAATAATTCCTTTGATAAAATGTAACCAGGTACATGAATAAAGGAATTACCTGTATGATCTTAAAATGTAGTCGCGCTTCAAAAGGCTTGGAACTTGGCTTTTTTACGGTCATGAATGGGATTAGGACACACAACTCTATAAGTGTGTCAAGTTTGTATTCGAGTTGAGTATAGAAATTTGTATGTATTTTATCTTCAGGTATTCAAATGGGTTGACAGGTTCAATCCATAGGACATCCCGATTTTCGAATATTTGGAATGTGTAAAATACTAAGAAGAAAATTCAATCATATATATATATATATATATATATATATATATATATATATATTTTGGTTCAGGTGAGAAATGCATCTAATGTGAGAAATGAGAATGAATCTAAACCATTGGATTTACGAAGTTGCACTAAACTTGGCTTTATGTTGCAGTAATATTTAAATTTTGCACATGTTGCACTAAAACTATTTCATGTTGCACTAATATTTGACAGCGTTGCACCGAAATAGCTTCATGTTGCACTAGACACGTGTAATACGGATTTTTCAGAAGTATTTACAGAAATGCCACCGTGCTAGATTGCATACTTCAGTGCATCATGAAGTGTCTTTTACTGCAACTTAGTCGAATCCAATGGCTGAGATTCATTCTCATTTCTCACCCAAAGAGTTCTTCTCACTTGAACCTTACCCTATATATATATATATATATATATATATATATATATATCGACATTTTCATTTATGTACAAGTTTTGGTTTGAAAACTTTGTTATGCCATTTCATGGGTTACACTAAAATGGGGGAGGATTGTTGGTGATTTTAGTGTCACCGGCCGTTTTGTGTAATTGGAAATGACATGAGTGCCAATAGGGATTAGAATTGTGTTCTAATACAAGCTAGAAGGTGTGAAGTGCACACTTGTATATAAGAACAAATTTAATCCCAAATTGTCTACGACAGTAGAACTTGAGGAAGAACTCGAGGTATAACTTTCTGTAGACCAACTTTGTGGTTTTAGACCGAGGTCTAGAGCGGTTGAGGCGGTTTTGTGCAGTTCTTCAGAAACTAGCACGGTTATTCTCAAACGTGTTGTAACTGCTAGGAACCGTTAATATGGAGATATATCACCATATTTCGTATAGAGAAGACAGATACAAGATATAGAACATATCTTTATCACTTTTGGCATTCAAATTCAGAAAACAGTCCATATACTCTATAGTTTGTGCTCTAGATCTTGTGCCTAAGTTGAGTGTCTTTAAGGATTATCCTAGATTGAATTTCTTGTAACACAAGCATAGGGGAGAAATATCATTTCGGAAAGTGAACTTACATGATCCTTAAGCAAAGGACAGTTGGTGAACCCCAAAAGTGGAAGGATTTCCATGTTTATGTTTGTGATTTTAAGTAGTTTTGATTGATTTTCACTTTGGAAATTACACACTTTTGGTGTAATAGTTTAGTTTGTTAAATTCTTGTAAATTGTTTAGATTAGGTTTATTCTGAGCTCAAACAGGTCTACTATCACTCAAAGGACAGTTGGTGAACCCCAAAAGTGGAAGGAAGGTGCAAAATCACAAGACAAAGCGAAGATCCTGATTTTTTGGTCTATACCCGGTCGAGTATCATCTATACTCGATCGGGTATCTTGTTGAAATTTCAAATCGGATCGGATCCGAAGACAAAGGAACATGCAGGGAAGATTTTGACCATGATCGAGTGTCTATACCCGATCGGGAACACCGACATACTCGATCGGGTATGCATATAAATAATACTCTGAATTCGATCGAGTATGGGTAAAATTCGAGTTTCTACACATACTCGATCGGGTACCTGTATATACCCGATCGAGTACCCGAGCTGCACCCCTAAAAAGCCTATAAATACACCCCCTTCCTTTACAATTAGATACCAATTCACATATACTTCTTAGCTCACTTTAGACAAGTTTTTTCTTTATATTTTTCATCATGTTTAGTCTCCAAATGAGGAGCTAAACTCTTCCATCTTGGTTTTGCTACTTTGAAGCTTAATGATTTGTAAGTTGTGAGTTATTTTCTTTAATCTTCTTCCTTAGATATTAATTACTTCCTATTCATATTCCATATTAATATCTTGAGCATTACTTAAAGGATCAACTAGTTTTGTTTCATATATTAATTATTACTAAAATCAATCGGTTAATACGCTTGTTATTAATTCGGTTTGGTAGTAAACTTGGATTGTTAATGCATGCTTCTCATGGTTAATAAGCCAAGGGGAATTGATTATATTGATTAAACCAATAAACCGCTTGTGTTGAGGTTATCAATCTCAATCGTTTTCATCTTAAGTTTATTGCTACTATCAAGTTAATATATGGCGCTTGTTCTATATTGACTCGATAGTAAGTTTTATTAATGAACGCATCTCGTTATTAATAACTACCCTCGATGAACTGGATATACTCCTCGATTGAGTATTCGAGAGGAAGATAGTTAAAGATATAACCGGGATCGACGAACATTTCATTAAGTGGATAAAAGCAAAACCAAGTCTCCTTCTCATTAATTAAACCACATAACTCGTTCATCAAACAACAAATCTAAAAAACCCTTATTACTAGTTATAAAAAGAGAAGTATTCCTTTCCCTGCGGATACGAACCTTACTACGCTATACTATGTATAAGTGTTGTATTGTATTTATTTTGAGTGCACCTCACGACAAGTGCACGTCAAATTTGGCGCCGTTGCCGGGGAAAGGCAATTATTTTTCTTTTTATTTTATTTCAAGATAAATAAAAAAAAATTAAATAGACAAAAATATAAAGAGTTCTTATTTTTCTATTTCTGAGCTTTGTTTGAGTATATGGTTAAACACCGATCTATAAACCAAATCACCTACCAAACAAACCCCGAAACAGAACAAGCCTTCGAGAGGTTTAGGAATTTATTTCCGGATACTTCTTCGGAGGAATCATCAAGTGCTAGCTCCAGCTCTAGCGAATCTGAAGAGCCAATCAATATGGCTCAAGAGACAAGAACATTGAGGGAGCTCACAACTCTGAACAAGAATCAACAACCATTGTGTATTACCTTCTCTACACTCAACGAGGGTAATACATTTGAGCTTAAATTGGGGCTCATTCATCTTTTGCCATCCTTCCATGGTCTAAGAGGAGAAGACCCAAATAAACACCTCTCGGAGTTCCATGTCGTATGCACAAGCATGTGTCCTAATGGAGTCACCGAGGAGCAAATTAAATTGCGGGCTTTTCCATTCACACTCAAGGACACCGCAAAGGATTGACTTTTCTATCTTCCCTCGGGAAGTATAGACACATGGGCAGCCATGAAAAAATGCTTCTTGGAAAGGTATTATCCCGCTTCCATTTCATCATCTTTAAAGAAGCAAATCAGCAACATCGAACAAGGTGATGATGAATCACTTTATGAATATTGGGAGCGCTTCAAAAAGCTTTGCGCTAGCTGCCCATATCATGGGTATACGGAGCAAGACCTCATCCTTTACTTCTATGATGGTCTTGCGGAACATGATAGACGCATGGTGAATGCAGCGTGTGGAGGGGGCATCGTGAACAAAAAACCCCTCTCAAGCAAGGAACCTCATCTCGGAGTTAGCCGAAAACTCGAGACATTACAATGGGAGGTCATCATCAAAGCGAGTTATGGCGGTAGAATCTACCTCATCACTCGAGAATCAAATGGCCGGCTTGACCTCCTTGGTTAAGGATTTCCTCTTAAACCCTAAAATCCAAGAGGTCAAGGTCTGCGGCATATGCACACAACAGGGGCACCCTACCGACTCTTGCCCATCACTTCAAGAAGATAACCCCGAGCAAGTCAACGCTTTGGGGTTCCAAAACCAAAAAAGGTATGATTCTTATGGCAATACTTACAATCCCGGGTGGAGAGATCACCCAAATCTTAGATATGGGAATCCTCAAGGAAACCCACAACAAAACAACCCTCCACAAAATCAATCCTTTCCTCAAAATAAACAACCATACCCCAAACCACAAGGCCAAAATATGTCCACCGAAGACATGATCCGAGCCCTCACCTCAAATGTCTCAACCATGCAACCAAACATGGTTCAATTCCAACATGAGACAAAATCTAGCATACAAAACCTTGAGAATCAAATGAGCCAAATCTCAAGTGCGGTGAGTAGACTCGAGGCCAAGGATTCGGCAAAACTTCCATCTCAAACGGAGCCGAATCCTAGGCAACAAGCTCATGCGGTGACATTAAGGAGTGGCAAAGAGTTGGTCATTGCCAAAGAAAAAGCGAGAAGCCACATTGGCGAGGAGGAAGAAGAGGAACTTGTGGAAAAAGCTCAATCGGAGGAGGAAGAAGCTCACGTCCCAGCTCCACCCCCGACCATCCATGAAGTTGAAGCACCGTTTCCCGAAGCTCTAAGGGAAACACGAAGGGTGGAGAATGACAAGGACATCTATGAGACATTCTCCAAATGTGAGGTAAATATTCCTCTCCTTAACTTGATAAAGAGTGTTCCTAGATTTGCAAAAAAAAATTAAAGAGCTATGTACAA